AAATATGTGCAGCTAAGATTTCGTTGAAATCGTTCAATGGATGGTCGGAGATAATTCAAGTTAGCTATCTTTGGTGTGGGAATAAACTTAAGTCCACGGTCTAAGATTGAATGCTGAAGGGGTGTGAGAATTTTGCGGCTCAAGTTAACTACAGTTTGGCCTAGCGGTGGCCTCTCAGTATTTTTATCCCCAGTAATTAGTTTAAAGACTTACTCGATGCTTGAAGCTGGTGTATCCAAAACAAATAAATGCTGTTTGCTGTTTCTGGAGACCAATGAAGATTATCAACTGTTTCGAATTCTTCTTCGTAGGGTGGTAAGATTGTTGCGCTGTTGATACTGGACTCCATCATCATGTTGTTGAGGGTGCTGAGGTTCTGTTGTGCTTTCTTCGAGATTTTATTTGAAATGGGTATACATGTGAAGAGGATCTTGGAGTTTGGGAAGGTTTTGTTGTCTGTGGCGATTAATTTCTGGGCTTGGTTAAAGGAGGTCTTTGGTATCTGATCACGGTTGTTGAGGCCTACATGAAGAATAATGGTAGTAGGTTTGGGATCATGGTCGTATGATTCCAGGATTGACTGTATGTGATGGATTTGGGCACCGGGGTAAGAATGTATTTCGGTGTCCGAACTGGTTTTGGTAATTCGATTCAGGTTAGATGATCCAATTATCAAGGTTGATTTCTTTAGAGCAGGTAGTTTCCATAATGATTTGTCCTTGGTTTGGTGATAATACGGTTTGGTAGCGGATATAATGGTCGTCGACGGTGTGATTGGTACTGGTTTGGTAGTTGTTAGAATTGTAGCATTGGGAACGGACTGGGATCTGGTTCGAGGAGGGGAAGGTCTGGATACATGTCTCGACTTGGATGGAGACTGAGGGGTGGTTTGCTGGTCCAAAAACGCACAGAAGGAAGAAAGGTTGGCGGATCCTGGATCACGTGGTGAAGATTCAGATGGTGTGGAAGGGGAAGACGAGTCTGANAGTGAAAAGAGAAGGGGTGTGCCCTCTCTACGAGAGCGTTTACCTATGTCTGCGAACTTCGAGCTCGTTTAGGGGTTTGGTTCGGCAGCGTGGTAGCTCTAGATGGTGCAGGTGTAGTGTCCATTTCAGTTGGTAGAGATATGGTTACTCTGGTTTTTGTTTCGTTGATTGTTTGGTAGAATTTGGAAATTACAGCTTGAGTGAGACGTTTCCCATAGGAGCGACGGGCCCAGGACAGGGCATGAGAAACGATGCGGTCGACGGCAGGTGATGATAAAGACTTGGTACGAATGGTGGTCAGCTTCTCTTGAAGTGTGGTTTGGTAATGGTCGATCAAGACCTGCGTAACCTTACAGAGCCATATCCGATTGAGGGATCTAATATTCGCGTCGACAGCTGATGTTTTCATTGCTGGACGGATAAAACTATCCAACTCAGAGACTTTGCGTTTGAAGGTAAACGCTGGTTGGCCTTGCTGTTGAAGGGTAAGGATTGCCAAATGATGGAGGCACTGCAAAACTTGGAAGAACACCTTCACAAAGGGTTCTTCCTCCTTATGAGTGGGGACTGGTTGGCGTCGGTGGGCTGGTAGTCGTTTCTGTTGTTGGTCAGGTCGATGGTTACCTCTTGATTGGTAGGCTGTGTTGTAGGTAGGTCGGCGATGGGGTGGGATATAGCTGGATGGGTTGGTTGGTGGTCGGCGATTGGTAGGTGGTAGAGGTCGATGGAAGACAGGGCCGTTGTAGGGTACGTGATATTGGTTTGGTTGACGATTAGTGTTTTTATTTCTGGCTTCTTGCCAGTGGTTGTTGTAGTTGGGGAGCATAATGAAAATAACTTTGGGTTAGAAGGGAGCGTGAAAATGTTGGGATCAAATTATGCAAATAAGTCAAACTGGGTTTGGGGATATATAAAGCAAGATGAAAAATGCAAAAAAATATATATTTAGGTGATAAATAACGCTAACAATGATGTGAAAAATTATAACAAGTAAAACAAAAACTTACGCAATTGACACGAACCGGTTTTCGAAATATTATCCTTTTTCAAGTGTCGAGGAATGGAACTTGTTGTGATCATTTGAATTGATAAGATCTCGAACAAGTTCTAACATGACGCATTTTCGATGAACGGTTTTTGAGTTATTGCCCTTGACTTTGTAAAAACGCGTCAAAATTTGTTAAAAATAGTTCGTGAGCAGGATTGAAGCTACAGTTTTCAACCGACTCTGATGAACTTTGGTGTGATCATTGGAATTGATAAGATCTCGGACAAGTTCTAACTTGACGCATATTCGATGATCGGTTTTTGAGTTATTGCTCTTGACTTTGTTAAAATGCGTCGAAATTTGCTAAAAATAGTTTGTGAAGAGAAGGATTGACGCTACAGTTTTTAACCGATTCTGATGAAACTTGTTGTGATCATTGGAATTGATAAGATCTCGGACAAGTTCTAACTTGATGCAATTTTGATGAACGGTTTTCGAGTAATTGCCCTTGACTTTGTAAAAACACGTCAAAATTAGTTCGTGAGCAGGATAGAAGCTACAGTTTTCAACCGATTCTGATGAAACTTGGTGTTATCATTGAAATTGATAAGATCTCGGACAAGTTCTAACTTGACGCATTTTCGATGAAATGTTTTTGAGTTAATGCCATTAACTTACGAAAAACGCGCTAAAATTTGTTTGTGAGTACAATAGAAGCTACAGTTTTCAACCGATTCTGATGAAACTTGGTGTGATCATTGGAATTGATAAGATCTCGGACAAGTTCTAACAAGAGATATTTTTGATGAACATTTTTTGAGTTATTGGCCTTGACTTTGTTAACACGCGTCAAAAGTTGTTTTTTGCCCTTGATTAGAGCTGTGTGATTTAATTGTTTGTTGTATTTTGGGTTATTGATATAAATTTTTTGGAATTATTCAGCATGAATTTCCTCATTTAAAGCAAAAGACACCCGAATCTATTGATGATTATAGTCACCGATTATCACGTAAATGTGACCAAGCCTATCCATCCTTTTCCAAAGCAAATAAACTGACTCTGTGTGCCCAACATTTTGTTGAAGGGTTGTATTCTGATCCTGTAAAGGTTGATTATCTGTCAGAATCCTGACATGCCTGGGTTTTACACTTTAGTTGATACAGCTAGAAGATTATCACATAGTGTACCTGTTTCTAGTGGAAATAAATCTGCGACGTCTGATCCAATAATGAGTGTACGCTGCACTTACTGTAAAAAACTTGGACATACACTACATCGATGCAGATTAAGGAAGAATTCTGCTGCAAATGAGAAATCCGGACGGACGAAAAATGATGATTGGACAAATAATGCGAAGTGTTATATATGTGGCAAAAGTGGACACATAAGTAAGACTTGTTATCAAACGAAAAAACCTGTTCATCGTGTTAATTTTAACCAGACGTGTCCAACCAAAGATGTTACTGTAGGTAAACTAACCAGCTCTGCAACTGTTGACTCTGGTGCTGCAGTAACTTGTACTACTGTCCCCAATATGCAGAAGGCTTTTCCTGGTGAATATGATATTGAACCCTGTAGTTCAGTATTGACAGGTCCTTCTGGTGAACAGATTCCAACTTTAGGTATTATAAACACTTATGCACGAATTCATATTATAGATTCAGAAGAGGATATTTTCCTTATTGGTTGGGATATTATTTCTAAATCTCACAAAGTGACTATTTCTCAAGCCAGTAATATTATTGAGAATTCTGAATGTGTTTCAGAAGTACGAGCTGTTACAACCACTGTGGTACCGCCCCGTTCTCAGAAGATATTGCATGTACAAGTATCACATCCTTCACCATCTGATTCTGGATTGCTGGTTGAACGTTTAAATACATTTGAAAATAAATCAGGGTTATTTGTTGGACGGTGTGTCTCCAACTCTAAGACTCCTTTAGTATTACTTATGAACCCTGATTCCATTAGTAAAACTGTGTATGCCTCTCAACAAGTTGCTTGTGCAACTGCATTAACAACAAGTTCTACTTCAGAAAAAGAATCTATTAATAGTGTTGAGGAAAAATCTTAGAATATTGGTCCAATTAATTCTTCATCTAAGTCCAAACTACTTGATTTGTTAGGTCATTATAAACCGGATGTGTTTACTGGCTTAGGCTGTGCTAAGAAACATTCTTACGAGTTAAAGCTAGCAGCTGATGCTGATTTGTCTTTCTTTAATTTGATGTCTGACCTATGAGCATTAAAGCGAGTTCGTAAATTATTCTTAGTTTCTCCTATATATTGTTTGGGGCATTTCTTGCATGAAATTAAATATATTACATTTGAATGTTCACATGTTAGATGTTCCTGGATCGGGTACCTTACAAAATAATGAGTTTCTGATATAAAGGGACATGTTTTGCATCTACTGGACAAAAATGGAGCACTTCTTAAACCTAGAGGTACTTCGGCATAAAGTCTGTTTTTAGCTGCTATCTGTGCTAAGGTGGAATTTTTTATGTTTCGTAAAAATCGTTTAGAGTACCCACGCTCTTTCAGTTTTGAGAAAACAATCGTACAGGCTTGGTTGAAATTAGAAGATCTTGTACAAATTCGATGAAATCGTAAAACTTGTGACTTAATTATACCAGAAAAGGTATGTTTTGGGTGAAAGGAGCTCTTGTGCAAGAGTTGATGAGTATCAGTTTCTTTGAAATACACTTTAATATCCAGTTTATTTGTTTCTACTATGGAATCTCCATTAAAGACTGTGGTATTGAGAAAGTCTATGCTTTTGTCACTCACGTTTGCGGTTAGTTTGATAGAAGGATGGTGGCTGTTGAGAATTTCAAAGAATTCCCAAAACTGTTCGATAGAATAAGTCCAAACCATAACAATGTCATCCAAAAAGCGTCCGTAAAAAAATGGGTCAAATGGACAGAGGGGCAACACCTTACGTTCCCACTCTACGTACGAAGGGGCAAATCGTTTGGTTTGCCCATTGCTGTCCCTGAAGTTTGTAAATATGTTTTACCATTAAATGTGAAATCGTTTCGACTAAAACAAATCTCTAAAAGCTGTAGAATTGCATCGTCGGGTCTGTTTGGATCTGGGTTTCTATTAAAAGCTTTAGGAACTGCCGTTAAACCAGTAGTGTTATCGATATTGGTATACATAGAAGAAACGTCGATAGAAATTAAAATAGCATTAGAGGGAACTCGAAGTTTTTTTTTATTTTATTGACAAATTCGGTTGTGTCTTTAAGGTAGGCGCGATGTTGACATACTAGAGGTAGTAAGAAATGATCAATGTATTCTGACACTGCATATGACTCACTACCACAGTCAGATATAATCGGGCGGCCTTTAGGGATTTTATTCGAGATAAACTACTCCTTGGTTGGATTCTTATGGATTTTATGCAAAGTGTACAAATGTCTCTCGCGACAATCAGGTTTGGCAGACAGATAGTCATATTGTTTCTGTTTGAGATAACTAGTTTTGACTAAATCGGCAAGAATATTGTTTGTTAATCATGTTAGCAGTTTCTTTGAAAATTGGTTTCGGTAAAATGGCATAATGTTTAGGATTATTCAGTTGATCCTCTACTTCTGAAACGTAATCCTCCCTATTCAGAATGACCCAACATGAACCTTTGTCACTCTTTTTAATAACAATGCTATCGTCTTTCTTAAGTAAGTTTAACGCTTCACGTTCCACTCGTGTGAGATTAGGCTTTTCGTGTGTTATGGAAAGGTTCACTGTTTGGCTATTCATACTCGCAAATGCTTTCAATATTTCAGGATGGATGGCGGCCTGAGGGGGTGTCCACGTGGATTTAGGAATAAACATTGTTCTAGCACCACGTGGGGGATGGTTTCGAAAAAAATATGTGCAGCTAAAATTTCGTTGAAATCGTTAAATGGATGGTCGGAGATAATTCAAGTTAGCTATCTTTGGTGTGGGAATAAATTTAAGTCCACGGCCTAAGATTGAATGCTGAAGGGGTGTGAGAATTTTGCGGCTCAAGTTAACTACAGTTTGGCCTAGCGGTGGCCTCTCAGTATTCGATGCTTGAAGCTGGTGTATCCAAAACAAATAAATGCTGTTTGCTGTTTCTGGAGACCAATGAAGATTATCAACTGGTTCGAATTCTTCTTCGTAGGGTGGTAAGATTGTTGCGCTGTTGATACTGGACTCCATCATCATGTTGTTGAGAGTGCTGAGGTTCTGTTGTGCTTTCTTATCATGGTCGTATGATTCCAGGATTGACTGTATGTGATGGATTTGGGCATCGGGGTAAGAATGTATTTCAGTGTCTGAACTGGTTTTGGTAATTCGATTCAGGTTAGATGATCCAATAATTAAGGTAGATTTCTTTAGAGCAGGTAGATTCTATAATGATTTGTCCTTGGTTTGGTGATAATACGGTTTGGAAGCGGATATAATGGTCGTCGACGGTGTGATTGGTACTGGTTTGGTAGTTGTTAGAATTGGTGCATTGGGAACGGATTGGGATCTGGTTCGAGAGGGGGAAGGTCTGGATAAACGTCTCGACTTGGATGGAGACTGAGGGGTGGTTTGCTGGTCCAAAAACGCACAGAAGAAAGGTTGGCGAATCCTGGATTCAGATGGTGAGGAAGGGGAAGACGAGTCTGAAAGTGAAAAGAGAAAGGGAGTGCCCTCTCTTCGGGCTCGTTTAGGGGTTTGGTTCGGCAACGTCGTGGCTCTAGATGGTGCAGGTGTAGTGTAGTGTTACTCTGGTTTTTGTTTCGTTGATTGTTTGGTAGAACTTGGTGATTACAGCTTGAGTGAGACGTTTCCCATAGGAGCGACGGCCCAGGACAGGGCATGAGAAACGATGCGGTCGACGGCAGGTGATGATAACGACTTGGTACGAATGGTGGTCAGCTTCTCTTGAAGTGTGGTTTGGTAATGGTCGATCAGGACCTGCGTAACCTTAGAGATCCATGTCCGATTGAGTGATCTAGTATTCGCGTCAACAGCTGATGTTTTCATTGCTGGACGGATAAAACTATCCAACTCAGAGACTTTGCGTTTGAAGGTAAACGCTGGTTGGCCTTGCTGTTGAAGGGTCAGGATTGCCAAATGATGGAGGCACTGCAAAACTTGGAAGAACACCGCCATGTTAGTCAAAGCAAGTTTCATATCGTATGTCGATTATATAATGTTAGTCATTACTATTATGTTGTAAAACTGTTTCAATCATTTAAATATACTTCTTAAACTGTTATGGTGTTATCATAGCCTTCGAGAACTCTACAATATCGTCTCTGACTTTACAATATTTGTATTTATCAATAAGTTTTTTAGTTATGTTGATTTTTTTTACCATTGAAAGTTATTACAGTTAGGGAAATTGTTTCAATAGCTTCTATTATTTTCTTAACTAAAATTTCTGGCTTCATTTTAAGGGTGTATTTTTTACTCAATTCTTGTCATTCTTCTATCTGCTATTTTAATTAAATGTTTTGCTTCCTCGAGTAGTAAACAATACCCGGTTACATCTCCTTGTGTTTTTTCAATATGAATATTTCTATTCACTCCTGTTTTGAAAAGATCTTCTTGGTGAGCTGATAGATCAAAACAGAAGATTGAATGATTAAGTGCAAAATCTACATATTCAAACTGAGGGGGATTTCCATATAATTCAAACGTAATTTTATAGTTTCTATACAACTCTTTATAATCCTTTGTGGTTGGATTAATTGTTAAAGGTTGGTTAGGATAATTATCATTGTTTAATCTTACTTGAACTTTATGGATTATAGGATCTTGATTTTGGTTCAATACCTCTCTGAAGACATTATTGTTATTCGTCTGAGAGTCTAGTAAGTTCTTGAAACCAACCATTTAATCTCTTGCTGGTTTAATAGTATTGGCGATTGGCCAAATAGTGGATTCTCCAGTTAAAGTCATGCTACCTACCTAAGAAAAGCTATTTCAATATCTTTAGTCAACATGTTGAATATTCTAGTTTATACTTCAATTGATGGTGTTATGACAGGTATGTAAAGTTGGAGATTCGTTATTTCTAATTTTGCATCTGAAGCATTCTCTCCAAAGAATATCTTATCATCGTTGATTTCTCTTTGTAGATGAATTTTATATGGTAATCCTATGTAATCTTTCTATGTTCCAACAGACCGAATAATGGATATAACTTCCAATTTACGTAATTACCCCAACTATTATTATCAACGCTATTGTTATACTGAAGTGCTCGTTTTTTCAAATCCATGATTAACTGCTCGTGCTACTCTTTCTATTGTGTTTCGAGCAACAACTATCACTCTAGCTAAATCCGCATCATTTGCAACATTTCTTACCGGTTCTTTTAAAACACTTCCATCGCCAACATCGGGTATCCAGCCTGAGACTGAATCGTTTTGGGATATAGGATTGTTTTCAACATTATGTGAAATTCCCCAGGGTGTTTAATGGTTTCTATAGGATTTGAACCAGCTTCCAAAACCATCTCGCTAAATAAAGATGGAAAGAAATTGTTTTCTAACGTTGTATTAGTTTGTGGTACACGGTTTTCATTGGGAGATCCATCTTTTATTTTGAAATCGCATCTGAAATAAGCATCAGACAGAAGCAGCCAATTTGATAATGAAATTATTTCGAAGGTAATTCTACCACCATCATTCAACTGGGATTTAGAACCAACAGTCGTTGAGATGATAATATAATCCTCTTCTTTCTTGTTAAATGAATAACGAATCGGATCGTATAATTTAAAAATTGGATCTAGTAATTTTTATTTGCCATTTTTAAGGTTTAAAATTTGAGTAGAAATTGTGTTCTGTTTTCCAAACAATGAAATGTAGGGTGAATAGGTCTTTTTGGGGGTGGGGGATTGATGGAATGTAGAGTATGTGTGACAGTATGGTGAATTTGGGAAAATGTGGTATATGAGACAGTATGTGACAGCATGCTCAATTTGGTAAAAAAGAAATTTTGGTAAGTCGGGAAAGGGTAAAATGGGGTATTTTTCTCCTTTGAAAGCTAGTCAAAATCCAGATATTATAACGTTTTCTTCTTTCCTTGATAATTTTGAAAATGAAATAAAAGATATACACGTTAAAGTTGGAGACCGAGTTCGTATTTTCAAATATAAAAGTAAATTCGAGAAGGGATACTGGACAAACGAAATATTTATCATAGATGAAGTAAATACCACATGACCTCCAACAGATGAATTAATCGATCAAGACAAAGAACAAATCATAGGTAGATTTTACCAAAACGAATTTCAAAAACTTTTAAAGATAGCTTGCCAGGCAAGGTAACATACGCCCACTGGCAGCTGTCAGAAATGATACTACTTAGTGACTACAGGGTTGCACAATATAGCTAATAGAGTGAAACGTCAAGTCAGACACGATATTTCAGTGAAATATTATCCGATCATCGCAAAAATCGATAGGGATCATCTTCATAATGACATACATACAAAATAAAAATCAAAAGAATCTGTAAACAATTGTAGCCTGTAGAGTGAGCACGAGTTGCACAATATAGCTAATAGAGTAAAACGTCAGGTCAGACACGATATTTCGGTGAAAAATTATCCGATCATCACGAAAATCAATAGGGATCATCTTCATAACAACATTGACATACAAAATAAAAATCAAAAGAATCCATAAAGAACTGTAGTCTGTAGAGTGAGCACGAGCCAAATGTGAACGGATGGACGGACGGACGGACGGACGAACCGACCGGGTGATTACAATATACGCCCGTGTGGTCGTATAAAAATGAATAGCTTTCTTAATAAATATGGAAATGAACTTTCAACTAGGCAAATGAGTTAAATATATCATCTTATATCACTGCTTTGTTTTGCAAATGAATATTTTTCTTTCGATACTGGTCAGAGCGCCCAGCAAAAACTGCATGTCACACATTAACTGACATAATTATCTGTCTTAAAGAGCGTGTCGTTGTTGTTTAAATGTAAAATGGCGCATTTTTGCCCAACCGGAAATGACGTTGGACGTAGCCACTCATGACGTCTATCGAATTACTGCTCCAATTCTGAATCCATTTTTGATCGAAATTTTTGTTTTGTTCTTTACTTTTTAGTAATGGCTAAAGGATAGCACTTTGCTTTTGACTTTTGTCGCTGACTTTTTTTCTTTTAATAATAACGTTTTTTTCAACTACTACAATTTTATTTGATCGATCTGAAAATTTAGTTAGTTATTTAGAAAGAGTTGATAAACATTTTGATTGCGAACAAAATTCTGTTCTCAAAATTTCTGTATCACTTCCGGTATTGTCGTCATTCAATCTTAACGTTGAATTTGTAACTTCCAGAATTTCATAGATATTTGAAAAATTATTTTTGCAATATGCTAGAATTGTTTATATCAAAGATTTGAAATAGTTTTAGTGAGCGCTTGATTGAAGCTCTGAAATGATTGTGGTTTTTACAACAAAGTATATGGTGAAGTTGTTTCAAAATTGGAAATTGGATTTATTTTCAACTTGACATGTTTAGTACTTTGATCGATTAAAAACAATTTTCAAGTTATGGTGTATTCATGGATATTATCACTTGTAATTTCTATTTTTAGTGAACTAACATAAGCTTATTGTGTTCAACCTGGCTTTATGTCAAATGAAATAACAACTCAACGACAGTCGGGATCAATTAATTAACAGTTTCTCACTAAATCCCCAGTTTAATCGGATTAGTGATGATGTGTTCAATCTCATTCATAAACTTGGGATAAGTTGTACTAAACGAACCAGGAGAGGAAAAACGGCAGACAGAAAACATAAATTCTTAAATAGGCCAACACATAACCGTTCACAACTAAATAGTGTTCAAAAAGATCATTCACTAAATGATAAAGCCGTAGATTCAGTTGATACAAATAAACTCAAAATTGGATTGTGGAATGCTCAACCTATCTGAAATAAAACTACAGTTGTTTATGAGCTGATATCTGACTTACACCTTGATATTCTCTTTGTGACTGAAACATGGTTAAAATGCGTCGGTGATGAACCTACGATTAGTACTACCATACCACATGGGTTCAAGTTAAACCACAACCCACGTCCTAGTGGCACGGGTGGTGGTTCGCCATTATATATGTAACAGTGTGACATAATAATGTCCCTTTAAACTAAGCTTTAGACACTTCACTTTAACTAGTGAATATCACTCATCATGCAGATGTCATTGTCTTTGATCTTGTTCTACTATGTTGTTATTAGCCTGAATAAGTTGCTAAATATAGTATAATGACCTATGACCTCTGGTGCAGGTGGTGTGATAGGACAGAATTAAGCAGACATTGAAGAGTAAGGGTCTTAGGTAAACCAGCACTGCTGAGCCATTGTTCCCTAGTACTATAGTTTTGTTTTCTTGATTTGCTCTGTATCTGCTTACTGATTGTGTAATAAAGTGTATCGTATTCAATATGGAACTATTTCTGTGACCTGTACACACGACGACGACAACGTACTCGGTCACAATTGGCGTCGCCGATAGGATAACTTACAGGATTTTCGGATAGAATTTTGTGTTTAAAGCTACTGGATTTTGGATATTGATTTGGAACATTTTTCTGTGTGATTCAACATTAAAGACAGGACATTCAACATTCATTGAAAGAAGAAAAAACGGTGAGAACGTTCTAGTATTTTTGTGTCATATAATTGATTTTGGAACTATTTTCAACTTTAAAATTATGACAATTTCTGGCAGCTATGAGTTTATCAAAATTAAACAAGTTTTTAGAAAAACCCTTACCAATCAGAGCTAGTGAAAACCAAATCTGTGTTCCGATTTTATTGAGTGACAGTAAAGGCAGATATTTAAAAACACATTTTAAAAGAGACAGTTTAATTAATGTAAAATTTGAGTGTGAAAGCGGACGTAAAACAAAATCGGGAATAGACTATCTTGAACAAAAACTTCCTGAGTGGATTGAAGAATATTCACAAGTTGTAATTTACATTTGGTTAGGCACGTGTGACGTAACAACCAAATCAGGGAATTTGATTGCTGCGCAACCCGGACATTCCGAAATTGTTTCATACATTGGAGGACAATACAGTAGAGCCATAAATATTTCGAAGAATTTTGAAAACTGTCGTATTAAATTTATAGAAATTCCACCTATTTCTGTGTCATTTTATAACTGTACCAAATCGGGCTGCAATTCAGACGAATATAAAGTGCAAGATAAAGTAGTTAACAGACATATTAATCAGATCAATAAAGAAATTAAACTTTTAAATTTAATAGTTAATGAAAATACTTTAGGATTTTCCAACGACGTTATTCGTTTTCGAAAAGGAAAAGATAAGAAGTCTAGAAATACAGTTAGTGTAAATTTACTGTCAGACGGTGTTCATCCAATTAGTTTACTAGCTAAATGTTGGTTGCATCATTTAATGATTGATATTTTACGGTGCTGTTTTGGGAAGACAGATTGACCTATTTCAGTGGAGAGTGCTCTATTGAGATAAATTGTTTTTGACAGTCACAGATATGGTTTTATTTTGATTTGTATTTATTGTGGAGAAGCTCTACACATTGCTTTTGTTTTATTGATTGTAATTTTCTTGTAACTGATTTGCATATGTTTGATTTTGTATTTGTCACATCGAAGGTATTGTTGTAAATTGTTAGTAACCATGGCAGAGTCTACAAAAACTGAACAAGATTATAAGGACGAAATCGATCGTCTAAAGAGCGAATTGGCTACTACATCTAGACTAGCATCTAGATTAACATCAACTCCTGTAAGACCTTCTGAGAGTTTACGTTTTAATTCTCCGTTTTCATTGCCATCAACATCAAACACTACATCATCATCAGCAACTAAGTCAGTCGTTTACATTGATAGAACCCGAGAACCAAAGAAGTTTGAAGGGATACTGAAAACTTCAGGCGATTTAACTGTACACGAGTGGATTGAAGATATCCAGGGATATGTGTCAACTCTTAATCTTACCGGCGAAGATGAAGCAAGGTTTATATATTCTCATCTAGAAGGTGATGCGAAAGAAGAAGTAAAGTTAAGAAAAGCGAAGGGGAATGCCAGCTTGATTTACGATGCTATACGAAGTGCATTTTCTGAAACCCATTCTACTTCTCATCTACTCAAACTTTTCTATGAACGAACTCAAAAGAAGGATGAAAGTATCAGATAATTTTCTTATGCTTTGAGACAACTTATGGAACGCATTCAAAGGAAAGAACCTAACAAAATTGAATCTGAAATTACCATTAGAGATCATTTTGCAGATGGTTTGTACGATGCACATCTTAGAAAAGAATTGAAGCGCCAAATACGTGACAATCCCTCATTATCTTTCATCGATATCAGAAAGTTTGCATTAGATTGGACTGAAGAAGAGAGTAAACCAAAGGAAAAAGTTAATACCAGTGCAACATCAGAAGAAGTTGTTACCACGAATACTCAAATGGATGAGTTAAGAAAATTAATACAAACCCAACAGGAGCAAATTGACAAATTACAAAATTTACTGACTCGACGTAGTACTGGCAAATGTTTTGAATGCAACAGGACTGGTCATATTAGAAGAAATTGTCCAGATTTAAAACGGAAACAGGAAAACTAAACCCACCTTCAACTGTGAGTCGAGGAGGGGGTGATACGAAAACTGTAGGCTCAAATAATAGTGAAACCTTTGACCTCGCTGTTGGGGAATGTCCTACTGTGAGTGGTCAAATTCATTCATCGTCATGTCGATTTCTACTTGATACTGGATCCCAGGTATCAACCATTATTCAGTCATTTTATGACAAACATTTAAAATGCTCCACTAATTTCGAAGAGACCAATTACCTTACTGTTAGAGCTGCAAATGGACTGGATATACCTTATAGTGGAATAGTTCAAGCTGATTTGAGAATTTTCGGGAAGCGATTACCAAATCAATGTTTTCTTGTAGTCAAGGACCCAAGTGATCCTCATGCAGCAAAACGCAAAGAAATGGTACCAGGGTTATTGGGAATGAATGTCATTCGCCATATATGGTCCGAAATGAAGAACTTGGATATTCACGAAGGGCAAACCAATTTTGTAGAACAGTTAAAGGCTAATTTTAATAAAGACAACAAAAGAGCTGTGCATGGATTTGTTAAGGTCGCTGCATCTTATCCAGTACTTTTACCATCAAAGAGTGTTACTAATGTTCAAGTTTCTGGTATAACGCCTAAAGTACACGCTACGCTAGTTATTGAAGAACTGACCAACCGAACTCACCTACCAAACAACATCATAGTTTGTAATACTGTGGTAAAACCAAATAGAAATCTTTACCAAGTACAAGTTGCTAATTTCTCTGAGAAAGACATATGGTTAAATCCTCGTACTCGCTTAGGATTGTTAGTTGAAGCTGAAGTAGAGTTAAACAATGTCCAGATTTCAGTTAACGCTGATCACATTTTAGTAGAGAAAATTGGACATGACCTTAAACCACCCACTGAAGAGAAACCAGATTTACCACCAATACCCATTCCAGATACTTTAAATTCAGATCAGCGTCAAGATGTTGAAAATTTGTTAAGAAATCATAAAGATGTCTTTAGCACAGGAGATTTTGATGTTGGCTTTACATCGACGATCACTCACCAAATTCATCTTACAGATAATATCCCTATAAAATTACCCTACCGAAGGATACCTCCAGCACAATTAGAAGAAATAAAGAATCACATTCAAAAGTTAGTTGACACCAATGTCGTTGTTCCCAGTTTTAGTCCATATTCTTCGCCTATTGTTATAGTCCGAAAGAAGAACACTGGTGATATCCGTATGTGTGTTGATTACAGACATTTGAATGCCAAAACCGTTAAAGACTCATTTCCTTTACCGAGGATTGAGGAAAGTTTAGATGCCATGTATGGAAGTTGTTGGTTTTCCTCATTAGATCTGGCCTCTGGATATACACAAATTGCTATGGATAAAAAGGACGAAGCAAAAACTGCATTTACCACACCCTTTGGACTGTTTGAGTTCCGGCGAATGCCATTTGGAGTTTGTAATGGACCTGCGACATTTCAGCGTCTCATGCAAGGTTGCTTTAGAGACGATGTACTGAAAATTCTTCTTATTTACCTGGATGATTAAATAGTTTTTGCAAAAAGTTTTTCAGAACATTTAGAACGTCTGGATCACGTGTTCAGCATTCTAAGACAGCATGGACTGAAGTTGAAACCATCCAAATGTTTTTTATTCCGATCTGAAGTCAAATACTTGGGTCATGTTGTATCTTCAAGTGGAGTTAGTACCGACCCAGACAAAATCAAATCAGTCACTGATTGGCCTAAACCAAAAACCTGTAGAGAGATGAGAACATTTTTAGGATTCTGTGGATTCTACAGGAGATATGTAAAGGATTTTGCCAAAATAACTGCCCCATTGCATTCAGTTTTAAAAGAAACAGATCAGGCTAAGAAATCAAATTTATTTTCTTTGTGGAATGAAAATTGTGATAATGCTTTTGAAACACTTAAACAGACTTTGACGAGTGCACCTATTTTAGGATTTGCTGATTTTTCTGAACCTTTTCAAGTTGAAATTGATGCTAGTCATGAAGGACTAGGAGCCGTACTTTCACAAATTCAAAACGGTCAACTTAGAGTTATTTCGTACGCAAGTAGAGCGTTACGTGGATCTGAAAAGAACATGGAGAATTATAGTTCCAGGAAACTTGAAATGTTAGGACTCAAGTGGGCTCTATGCGAAAAATTCAGGGATTATTTGTTAGGTCGTAAATTTGTAGTATTTTCTGATAATAACCCTCTGTGTCACCTAATGTCAGCTAAGTTGAGTGCTGTAGAACAAAGATGGATGTCTGATTTGGCTGTCTTCGATTTTGAAATGAAGTATAAAATTGGAAAGACCAACAGTAACGCCGATGCACTATCAAGGAAACCCAGAGACGTCGAAACTAATCATTTATCTGTAAATATTAAACCCAAAATAGAACAAGTAACAAAATCAACTTTCATACCAGATGTTTTACAAGAAGAGATAATATTTCCGACACCTATCTACAGTGAAAGTTTAGAAATACTTCCGTCATATTCTAAAGAAAATTTACAGTATTTACAAAATAATGATACCACTATCAAAACATTCCGATCGTTTTGGGATAAAGGTAAATCTCCATCAAAAAGTCAACGTAAAACACTATCAAAACCTGTTCTGACACTTTTCAGACAATCGAAAAGACTCTATTTAAAGAATGCTCTACTTTTTAGAAAAATTGTTGATCCATATACTGGAGAGATTGAACAGTTTTTATTACCTGATGAACTTAAAGACACTGTTTTACAGAGTTTGCATGATAATTCCGGTCATCAAGGGATTGAGAGAACTTTTAATTCTATAAGATCTAGATGTTATTGGCCTGGAATGTGGAAAGACATTCAAAAGAAGTGCAAAAATTGTGTTAGATGTGCTGTTTCCAAACCAAATACCAAAGTACATATCACCATGAAAAATTTGTTAGCTTCGAAACCGTTAGAAGTAGTTGCCATTGATTACACGTTGTTAGATAAGGCATCTAATGGAATGGAAAATGTGTTAGTCATCACGGATGTATTTTCGAAATTTGCCACGGCAATAGCTACTAAAGATCAGAAAGCCAGTACAACTGCAAAAGTGCTTGTTAAGGAATGGTTTGTCAAGTATGGTGTACCAGAACGTCTGCACTCCGACCAAGGTCGAAATTTTGAATCGGAAATAATTAAACATCTTTGCGCTATTTATAGTATTAAGAAAAGTCGCACCACCCCTTATCACCCACAGGGTAATGGACAAACCGAAAGGTTTAATAGAACCTTACATAATCTCTTACGAACATTATCGCCAGGATTAAAACGACGATGGCCAGAACATCTACCAGAGTTAATGTTGTCGTATAATAACACTATTCATGCGTCAACTGGTTATACTCCATATTTTCTACTATTTGGACGGAATCCGT